CTTCTTTGCCTTAGGTTTCATTTCGCGCTTTGTTATTATTTTTGTTGTTGTTGTTGTTATTCTTGTCGTTGCTGGGGCATGTATGTGTATATATTAACATCGTTGTCCAGCAGCAACTCTCAACAACTTGGTTATTTATGATTTATGTCGCTGTTGGTGCTTTGTATGGAAAATGGGTTTCTTCTTCGTCTTTGTTAGCCGCTTCACCCGCATTCGCAAGCAAGCGCTCAGCTCTTCTACTGTACCTTTGTATGTATGTATGTATGCACGTACGTAGTAATTTTTTCTACAGTTCATTATTTTCTTGTTTTTGCTTGCCTTTTTGGCGCCCCATGCCCTAAAGTGTCGGCTTTTTCTTCTTTCTTTCGAAAGGCTCCCAGCCTCCCGTCATCCTCATAACCGCAATGGCACTGCATCCAGCCATCAACACTCGCACTACTGATACTTACCTTTGCGTATGGTTGTGTGTATCAGGAGTATCCCATTGCCATCGGGTCAGCCTCCTGTTGTGACTTTTATTGAATTCCGTTGATGGACCGATATGATCTTTTGGAGCGCAGAAAATTTGGTTGTCCCGAAAGAGCCATTCGTCATTTTTTATTAGTTAATTTTGGTATAACTCTCAACAAGTATACATACGTATCGCATATAAAATGAGTATGCGTTGAGTGCAGTTAATTACGTATGTACCTAAAAAAGCTCTTCAAAAATGTATGATTTTTGAGGCTGTGGAATGTAGTAAATAAGTAGGTATGTGATATGATCGAATAGATCTGCCGCAACTTAAGGAATAGCAGGAATTATGGCTGAGTATTCTTATTAGCTTAAACCTTTTACTTGTAGGACTCGACTTCTCTTATATACTGGGTACTGGGTAGAAATAGATGGACTGAGATAGAGTTCCATTGTGATGCCAAGAAAAAATTTCGTTCGGTTAAGAGAGCCTCATATTGAACAATGGCCCGAAGGAATGCGATAATTTGCATGTGACTAGTCCACCTGCTGTTGGTAGACTCTCCGAACTACGCCCAATTGTTTTCCAAGTTTTCTCTCAGAACCTTTTCAAGGG